AATATAAGTACTTTATTTGGTAGAACTAAAGACTGTTACCTCAACATTTTATATTCCTCATATGTGTCTGTTGTACCATGAATGTGTACTAAAAAAAGCATCCCGTTTTCTTCACATTGCTTCCTTTGTTTGAAATCCCTGGTGTTTCAGCTAGTCCCTTGGCTTTCCTATTTCATACTTCCCACTCTAGGCGTGAGAGCACATTCATCCCAGTGTAGTCAGTTTTCTGGCTGTGCTGAAAGAACAGTCTGCATGTCTTCCAATGATCAGAACTGTGCTGACACACCCCTTGCACAGCCATTTACTGTGAAAATCAGCATTCTTCTGTTTCTACATCCCCAGTTCTCTAAGCCTCTTATGCAGCGGAGAAGAGCTTATGTGATCAGTTATAAAAATTGTGTGTATACAGTATATGTATGTATACAGTTAGGTCCATATATATTTGGACTCAGGCACAATTTTAGGTTTTTTTTCAAGTAATTTACCAAAACCTATTCAAACTATAGTTATATAATGGATATGGGCTGCAAGTGCAAGTTTAATTTGAGGTTATGTACATCCAAATTGGAGGAAAGGGTTCAGGAATTAAAGCTTTTAAGAGTAGCCATCTCCCTTTTTCAAGGGACCAAAAGTAATTGGACAATTGAATCAAAAGCTGTTTCATGGCCAGGTGTGGGCTACTCCATTATTTCTAAATCAATTAAGCAGATAAAAAGGTCTGGAGTTGATTCTAAGTGTGGTATTTGCATTTGGAATCTATTGCTGTGAACCTACATCACATCTTCGATCGAGCTGTCCATGCAAGTGAAACAGACCATTGTAAGGCTTCAAAAAAGAAAAATCCATCAGTGACATACAGTAGCAGCAACATTAGGAGTGGCCAAATCAACAGTTTGGTGCATTCTGAGGAAAGAAGAATGCGCTTGTGAGCTCAGCAACATAAAAAGGCATGGACGTCCACGGAAGACAACAGTGGTGAATGACCCATTCACAGCATCCAGACCAGTGAAGAACACTCTTCAGGAGGTAGGAGTATCATTGTCAAAGTTTACAATCAAGAGAAGAGTTCATGACAGCAAATACAGAGGGTTCACCACAAGGTGCAAACCATTTATAAGCCTGAAGAATAGAAAAGCCAGATTAGACTTTGCCAAAAAAAAAAACATCTAAAAAAGCCAGACCAGTTCTGGAAAAGCATTCTTAAGACAGATGAAACAGAATGATGGGAAGAAAAAAGTGTGGAAAAGGCTTGGAGCAGCTCATGACACAAAGCACACAACGTCATCTGTAAAACATGGTGGAGGCAGTGTGATGGCAAGGGCATGCAATGCTTCCAGTGGCACTGGGTTATTGGCGTTTATTGATTATGTGACAGAAGACAAGCAGCCGGATGAATTCTGCAGTGTTTAGAGATGTACTTGCAGCCCAGATATAGCCAAATGCAGCAAAGTTGATTGGACAGCTCTTCACAATACAGATAGACAATGATGCAAAAGCAACCCAGGAGCTTTTGAAGGAAAAGAAGTGGAATATTTTGCATTGGCTGAGTCATCCACTTGAACTCAACCCAATTCAGCATGCATTTCACTTGCTGAAGGCAAAACTAAAAGGCAGAAAGATTCACCAAGAACAACTGAAGACAGCTGCAGTTAGAGCCTAGCAAAGCATCAGAAAGGAGGAAACCTAGTCTTTATGCCCATGGGTTCCAGACTTCAGGCAGTCATTGCCAGTAAAGGATTCTCAACAAAATATTAAAAAATTAACATTTTATTTAGGATTATATTCATTTATCCAAATTACATTTGAGCTCCTGAAAATGGAGGGACTGTGTATAAAAATGGTTTCAGATTCTAAAATTTGTACTTGATATTTATGTTCAACTACTTGAATTAAAGTTGAAAATCTGCACTTCAAATTCATTTGGATTGTTTCATTTTAATTTGTTCTGGTGGCATAAAGACCCAAAAGTATGAAAATTGTGCCTGTGTCCAAATATATATGGACCTAACTGTATATACACACATACATTATACTGCCAAAAGTATTGGGACGCCTGCCTTTAAACACACATGAACTTTAATGGCATCCCAATCTTAGTCCATAGGGTTCAATATAGAGTCGCATGTATTAAAGGTAGTTATTAAGAGGTTGTCAAATGAATTATCATGTCACCCAATATTTGGTCTCCATTCAGTAGCCAAAAGAGGCATTCAAAAAAGGGGGATTTGTGAAAAGAAATTCACAGAAAAAGCGGCTACATTATGAACAGAACGTGACACTCAGAAAAATTTCCAAAAATTATGCTTTATTACACATATATAAATATGACATATGGGCGTTCGCCCTGGTTTACCATCACCTCAGTATGAGACAATACACACAGACCTAAAACCATATAAAATGACACCAAGACCGGTCTAAATGCATGTGCAACAGAAAAAATGACTGCAGGAGTCTAATGTCCCTGTAGCACAGACACATAGGTGAACACTTCCCAAAAGAGGTGTATCCAAAAATTATACCATAGGCATACCATAATATAGAATATTATAAATAGAACAATACCATAATGGTGAATCCCAATCAGGGAATCCAAAAAATTGTACTATGGATATAAGTATCACATGTATGCAATGCAGCAAGCACAATATGCGTCAAAAAGAGAACAACAAGCCTCAGGCCTGTATGGAGGAAGACATAAATGTCAAATATATGATGCAATACATTCCTATGCCGCACAAGTGGTTGGGGCCCATTCATCTGTAATATAAACAGCTGTATCCTAGAGCTCTTGAATGAAAATATGCCCCATTTATTCCCAGGGTGGAAGAAAAGATGCAAAAAGCAGCACTCTGCTTGAAATGGTATCTTCACCACTATATGTGGACTACACACCACCTTTCGTAGGGAAAACAGGACATATCCCAAAAGATCTTCTGCCTGTTGAGATATATGTGGTATATCCTGTATCCTATACAAAGCACCATGATGTCCCCATCCTGTAGTGAGACAAATGATATGTGGGAAGTCACTGACAGAGTTTACACTCAATAAGATATATAGGTCATATAGATCACAGAGGACCATATATCTAATGTCCTGTAACAGTCCACTCACCACCTGTGCTGTGGGTATTAGGAATGAAAGAGATGTCCTTCATGGGTACTGCCATACACGGCCACAGAGGCCTAGGAACCACCGCTGACATCCGCCGATATACCGCGGGTTCCAGCCCCTTCTTGGCGCTTGTGCTGCTCACACTTGCCTCATGGCATGTGAAGATGGCTTCCTCCTTATGGGTCAGCGTGCGTTCCACCTAATGCGCATGACCGGAAGTGACGTATCTGACGTATGACGTCAACGCGTTTCGCCGATGGGCGTATCTCACTCAGCTTCGTCAGGACCAATATGTTCACCTATGTGTCTGTGCTACAGGGACATTAGACTCCTGCAGTCATTTTTTCTGTTGCACATGCATTTAGACCGGTCTTGGTGTCATTTTATATGGTTTTAGGTCTGTGTGTATTGTCTCATACTGAGGTGATGGTAAACCAGGGCGAACGCCCATATGTCATATTTATATATGTGTAATAAAGCATAATTTTTGGAAATTTTTCTGAGTGTCACGTTCTGTTCATAATGTAGCCGCTTTTTCTGTGAATTTCTTTTCACAAATCCCCCTTTTTTGAATTCAATATAGAGTCGACCCACCCTTTGCAACTAACAGCTTCAACTGGTCTGGGAAGGCTGTCCACAAGGTTTAGGAGTGTGTCTATAGGAACGTTTGACCATCCTCCCAGAAGCGCATTTGTGAGGTCAGGCACTTATGTCGGATGAGAAGGCCTGGGTTACAGTCTCAGCTCTAATTCATCCCAAAAGGTGTTCTATCAGGTTGAGGTTGGGACTCTGTTCAGGCCAGTCAAGTTCCTCCACCCCAAACTCGGTCATCCATGTCTTTATGGACCTTGCTTTGTGCACTGGTGTGCAGTCATGTTGGAACAGGAAGGGGCCATCCTCAAACTGTTCCCACAAAGTTGTGAGCAAAAAATTGTCCAAAATGTCTTGGTATGCTGAATCCCTAAAAGCTCCCTTCACTGGAGGGGCCAAGCACAACCCCTGAAAAACAACCCCACACCATAATCTCCCCTCCTCCAAACTTTACAATTAGCACAATGCAGTCAGGCAACTACAGTTCCCCTGAAAACCACCAAACCCAGACATGTCCATTGAATTGCCAGACAGTGAAGCATGATTTGTTACTCCAGAGAACACATCTATACTGCTCTACAGTCCAGTGGCGGTGTGCTTTACACCACTGCACCAACGCATTTCATTGCACTTCGTGATGTAAGGCTTAGAAGCAGCTGCTCGGCCATGGAAACCCATTCCATGAAGCTCTCTACGCACGGATGTTGTGCTAATCTGAAGACCACATGAAGTTTGGAGGTCTTTAGCTATTGATTCTGCAGACAGTTGGCAACTTCTGAACACTGTGTGCCTTAAAATACGCTGAACCTGCTCTGTCATTTTATGTGGCCTACCACTTCATAGCAGAGTTGCTGTTCCCAGTTGCTTCCACTTTATTATATTATCACTAATAGCTGATCGTGGAATATTTAGTAGCAAAGAAATATCACGTATGGACTTACTGCACAGGTGGCAACCTATCATGGTACCCACGCTTGAAATCACTGAGCTCATGAGAGTGATCCATTCTTTCACAGATGTTTGTAGAATCAGTCTGCATGCCTAGATGCTTGATTTTATACACCTGTGGCCATGGAGGTGATTGGAACACGTGAATCCAATGATTTGGAGGGGTGTCCCAATACTTTTGGCAATATAGTATGTGTGTGTATACACATATGTATAGAATATATATACATACACACACACACAAACACACATTTTGCCTCTCATTTCTGTTTTAATCTGAATGGGTTGTCTTGTAAGATAAGGGTTACCACTTACTGTGGAATCGTTTTGGTTTTTTTTCTTACCTTTGCAGCCAAATGAGAAGTGTATTCTTTGGTGGTTACAAATCGATCCTGACACACAAGACAAACATATGAGCTATCACTCACTCCATGAAGAGATATAGTTGGATCACAAGGGGAGTGATCAAACCTAAAAAAGGTAAAAAAAAAGCAAAAAAACAAAAAACACAACAGTAGCTGGTAAGAGCAATTGGTGCAAATAAAGAGAGTAAATTCATCTACCTAGGTCAAAGAAATGTGGCTTCTGCAGTTATTTTTATTTTAAACCACATGACTGGGCAGTTAATATATACTGTAGGCTCTATGACCTATCAGCAATTGGAAAACATCCCCATTTTACAGTCATCATCCTCTTTTTTTGACCATCAACTACTCTCCCATGTCCAGCTGTTCCCCACAGTTCCCATTCAACCATCAGCCCCCTTTCTTCTGAAGTCATCACTTCCCTAAACCCCCCCACCCCCCTCGTGAGCTTTCCCCTCGAATGCGCTTGTTTAGCCCAGTTGTAAATGGACCTCCTTCCTTTCCCAGTATAATCAGCCATCAGTCCCATTTATTGATTTTTCACTACTTGTATTGTGCAGGTAGGTCTTCCGCCAGACAAGAAATTTAAATAATGTGCACCAACCAAAAATCATAAGCGCAAAGGAAGTGATGCCTCCAGCTCCCTACTGGCTTGCAGAACAGAGGAGACTACTAGCCCATCTGCAGTGAGCTCACAGAATGTTTAGACCTGCTCTTAAAAAACATTCCTGTGGGTGGTAGATCTAGTACAATATATACTTATACACTATCAAACCCCGGCATTTACCTGACAGTCTGCAAGAATATTTTGTTATATAAATGTAAGTTATCAGTCATCTTGTAAAAATTCTGAGGGTTCATTACTATTTTACATAAGAAGACTGCAGATGGAGTAACTGAAAGAAAGATAGCACTGCAAAAGATAATGCTCAATGATCTACTTGATGTACTGGGCTACAGTAATAACACAGACCAAAACGATAAATAAAAGCTGACCTATATTTAGACATAAAAAGAGACAGAAGTTTGTCTATGGTATCCCCTGGATGCGACTCAGATTTAAAAAAAAAAAACAAAACAATCACATACAATACTTTGATATTTTGGCCAAAGAAAAAGAATTATACCTTTTTAGGTGACCAAGCAGCAGTTGTCGGTTGTCAAATTTTCTGTTACAGTACATCACAGGACAAGTGATTGGTTCTGTGTTTATAGGGCCTATTTCCCTTGGCTGTGAGAAAGTTCTGCGGCTGGAGCTCACATTACCTGGCTTAAGACCTGGAAAAAGAACATGCTTATTTGTCACACACTACAAACAGAAGCGGAAAGTTGAAGCAAAGTTCATGTTGCATACTGAAGTCTCAGGGAGTAAAGGAATAACTGAAAATTGTGGATGGACACAGCATGGCTCCTCCAATGAACAATGATTCTGAAGTAGGAATCCAGCCAAAGGCTTTTTAGAGGTCTGTGGATAGAGTGGTGAAAGGCTAAGACCTACATTAGTTTAAAAAAAAAAAGTCTTCTGTCCCCACTGGGAAAGATTCACCCTCCTATTTTGTCATTGGGACAGAACGTGAAGGTAAATCCAACATTTGGAAGTGGCAACCAGAACAGGGAGGAGGAAGAAAAGACCTATTCTGATAATACCCGTCAAGATGAAATTTTTGTTCGACAACGGCCATAATACTACTCTATCATCAGGACGAGGCAATGGGAAATCTACCCACAGGGTACACAGTCTGCATTTGAGGACACGCACCCACACAAATATCAAATTGGGAGCAGCGGCTGTTTTCTGTGCAGCTGCTGCCATTCAATAGATATTAATGGGACTGCCTGCCTAGGAAATCAATGCATATTTACTAGTTTTTGTAATGAAGCCTACAGAGCACTGCGCCAGCAATCGTGGGTGCCATGCACAAGCTCTTGCAATGTTTTCTCCCAGCCTTAAGTTCATATGAAGGTATAGACTTGCTAAAGGAAGTGCAGCTTAAAACTACAGAGCCGGAAAAAGGATAGCCAATGCGTCCCTTGGTTGCAGTGGCTGATGGAACAAGAAGGAATTCTCCCAAACCTGGCTGATGCGAAATTAAAAAAAATATCCCTAAAATCTGCATAAAGATGCACCCTGCAATATAGGTAAGGGGGAGGGCAGTTTGGGAATGGTGTATGGGATCATTCTTTGTGTTACGCCTTCAATATTGGTTTACCATGAAACACGGTCTAGAACAGACTTTTGTTTTGGTGATGCCTCCTTTCCACATATTCTCTCGTTTATGTTTTGTAGTACATCCTAACAGATTTTAAATAGTTTATTCAAGGCAAGGAAGGCTTTCATTTGGTAGCAAAATTTGGATACATATATTTTTATTTCTTTGGTTTTAATTGAGAATAAATAGTAATTTTTTTTTTTTAAATTGTATTTTTCCCAATACAGCATTACCTATGTAGCTGGGCAGCCAATCTTGCCCCCTTCTTCCTGGCTCATCTGCCTGTCCTCCCTGCCAGTTTAGGCTCCATTCACACTTGTGAAACTTTAGCTTTGACAAAAGATCACATACATGGTGTGACACAATCCTTTTGTCTGCTGCATTTATTTCCCTTTCCTCTTTACTTCCTTGTTTTTTCTGAGGTTGTATGGTGTAAGCAATCATGCTGTCAATGCATTGTTGCTGCAGCAGCTGACATGCCCACTGTGGCAGTGTTGCTGGAAGAAGAGAAGCGGAGAAGAAGGTGTAGGTACTGGATCCATCCCATCACTGCGAATCAAGAAGATAGAGGACAGTTCTGTGTGCTGTATAATGACCTGTGTGCACATGAGGACAAGTTCTTCAATTACACACACGTCAATAACAAGGTGAGAACATGTGAGTCCAGCCACCTTCACTGCTAAATAGCAGCCAGTGTGACAACCTACAACTGCTGAGCAAACAAAAAACACCACAAATATAAAAAAAAGCTATGCTTTACTCTCTGCATTACAACCACAGTTCATATTGACAAGCAGTCACTGTGTTCTCTACTAGATTTTAACATGGGGAATTTAGATAATGGCCATATTTTCTTCTTTACAGTTTTGACAGATTACTGGGTTTGTTCTCTAGGCAGCTTGAGCGACAGAACACAAAGTTCTGAAAGGAGTATTCCACCTGTAGAAAGACTAATATTCACATTGAGGGAATTTTTATTACTGCATCCAAAAGGGAAAGTTGCACTTTTGATCATTATGCTCCCCCCCTCCCCCCTTCTCTGCCATCTTTTTTTTTTTTTTTTTTTTGTATCTGATTTTTGATAGTCTCCTCTCCCCACTGCTCCACTGGAGACGTCACAGGTCAAAAAGACTGAAGTATCATTCAATGGGCATAGCGGCCAGCTGGCTGTGAACCTGCTAGGAGTCACAGTCAGCTGCCCACAGTCATGCTGTTGCCAGGAATCGGAAAACTGGGGAAGAGCTGGGTCAAGTGGCGATAATGCTGGGATCCTGGGACAAGTAAGTGTATTTTTTTAAAACTCAGTATGTGTTGCTGCTCACTTTTTTTTTTTTTTCTTTGTTTAAAAAGGGAGAACAACCTCTTTACATTAGATGTAAACCCTACATAGACCCTGTGAAGTGACTGTTCTCAAGTGATACTTGAATGAAACCAATCCTCCTGCATAAGTTGTACCTGTATCTGCACTCTTTTCCACATCCAAATTGCTGAATTTATAAAGTTTGTTTGAAATGTCCAAAAAATGTCCTGTCTCTCCGAAAGAGAACATAGCCAGGAATATTAATTGCTCAGTCATGTGAAGAATGACACAGCTTATCACATGATGAGGTAAAAAGCCAATCACAGCAGCCTTTTACCATGTGATCAGCTGTGTCCAATGACACAGCAGATCATGGAGTAAATACAGTTGACTGTTATTGCAGTACTTTTCTCATGCTGTCACAGCGTAAGGAAAGTACTGCCGATAAAAGGCAGCCGTCACAGAGGAGATCGGCACTGATGATCAGTGCCCTGCAGTGCCATCAGTCAGTGCTGCCTATCAGGGACCATCATTGCAGCATATCAGTGCAGCATCATCAGTGGCTCATCAATGCCCACCAGTGCCACCTCATTACTGCAGCCTATCCGTACCACCTCATCAGTGCTGTCTACCAGTGCAGCCTCATCAACACACATCAATGAAGGAGAAAAATTACCTGTTTACAAAATTTTATAATAGAAACAAAGAAAAAAACTTTTTATTTTTTTGCTCTTTTTTGTTTATAGTGCAAAAAATAAAAAAACACTCAGTGGCGATTAAATACCACCAAAAGAAAGCTCTATTTGTGTGAAAAAGAAAAAAAAAAAAAAAAAATTTACATGAGTACAATGTTGCATGACCGTGCAATTGTCATTCAGAGTGCGACAATGCTGAAAGCTGAAAATTGGCCTGGGCCCGAAGGGGTATAAGTGGTTAACAAATATTGGCATCTCCTTAAAGCTGATCCTGTTGTAGCCACATGTGTAAGGGACAAGGCTGAAATTCCGTATCGTAGGAATACATACATTCTAGGGATGCTTTGGTACAAAGCCATTTTTTAGGTCAGGAAGGATAGACCCATGTCACCATAAGGGAACGTTTATCTGTGGTGGATGTGTATACTGTCAATACATTTCCCAGGGCAGAAAACATTTTGCCGAATGGGGAGTTACACGAAGCACAACACTACGTTAACTGCCAAACTGCAAGTGTTATTTATATGAGGACATGTAGCTGTGGAAGCTTTTACATTAGCAAAACCAAATGGAAGTTTTAGAAAAGAATCTATGACCACGTCAGCCATTCAATTGGGAGATATATCATCCCCTATAGGAAGACATAGTACTGTACATGGTATCATTCTAAGAATCCACAATGTGTCAGATTCTTTGCCCTTGAAAAAGTTCATTTAGACTCTAGAGGTGGTGACTGGATTGTTGCATCCTTCAGAAAGGGACTAGATGGATACATAATTTGGCTGCCACACAGCCCCCTAATTTTGAATGATTTGTTGAGTTTTAAACCATTTTTGCCTTAGTTTACTAATGTGTATTCATGACACATACCACTGTTGTGGTTATTAATAGTTTCTTTTCTTCTCTTTTTCAATGCTAGATGGCAAGCAATCAATATAGGAGGATGGCTATTTAAGAACCATGGCTTTTTTTTCTGCAACTTCGTTGTATGTGGTATATATACACATACACTTTTGCATTGGATCCGAGTGGTCGGTGTTCCTTGGCCGATTTTTTTTGGCCCCAGAGGTGGAGGGTGTTGTCGGACGCTCGGTGTGTCCTCTCTGATGGACCTCTTTAACATGGTCGTGATAGTGTGATGTCAGACGTCACGTATGTCGATGCTGCGGCTGCGCCTTACGGCCGGGACGCAGGCATTTTGGCGCTCTTTGGTCTGCTATTTAAAGGTTGATAGTAGAGACAGCAAATCAATGATTACGCCTCTGGAGAGGACTACCTGACCAGCTGAAAAAAAAAAAAAAAAACACCCACGTCGCCGGCCAGCAAATAGCTAGACTGCTCGCTGGGTCCTCGACCGCGAGGACCCAGCTAGCAGCAGCCTGAAAACCCCGGATTTCACCTGCTGCAGCCAGACAGAGGACCAACACGAGTAGAAGAGCACACCATGCACCAGGTACAGTGCATTGTGGTGACCAGTGCATTTTAAATATTGTATTTTTTTTGCACTACGGATAATGTATGTGCAGTGTGCATAGGAATTTGTTTATGTTTCAAAAACAGTGTGAAGGTCCGTGAACTGGCCACCTGTTTAAATAGTTTGAGGACCCCTGCTCTAATTGATACCCTAGACATTTGCTCACATTGGAACTTTTTGTCATGGTATGCATAACATTTGTGTGTATGTATATATGACCATTTGAGATATACCCAGTCCATAGTTTTGTTATATAAACTTAAATTGTTGTCCTGAATTATAGCTGGGATTATATAACCTGCTTGGGGAGTAGGGGTGTGGTTTGTATGTCTTTGGGACACAACAAACATTTGGATGTTTTGACTTTTTCAGCTTTAAATATGGATATGGGGTTTTGTCCACTTGGTGCAACTTTTCACCTCTGATCAAGGGACCCTTCCCTCGTGGATCCAATGTTCATGGCTCTTACTGGCTTTCTATAAACTCGTTGATGCCATCATTGGGTAAATGTAAATATTTGTTTATAAACGTTATTTTCTTTCAATATGCTGTAAGCTTATTTTTGGCTTTGTTTATATAATAATTTTAGATTTATAGGTTATATCTCCCCGAGAAAGCAGGCTATTGTCTCGCAAAACGCGTTGGTGAAAGAATAGAAGCACTAATTTGGAGCAAATATGTCAACTATGGTTCTTATGTTATTAAAAGTTATGCCTTGTAATAATATGTACTAAGCCTGTTTGTTTTAAGCATTACATGCGTTTTATAAGCTTTGTGACTGTGCAATATCACTACAACTGTGGTTTTCATTTTGTTATTAAAGTTGTACTTTTTGCACTTTTGTATATTTTCATTTTAGGTAACATGCCTCACAGCGCCATTCGTTTTTCCAGTTACTGTGGCACCATTAAAACCTACTAGCAAGGGGTGAGACCTTATCATAGGCCTCTCTCCCCCCCCTCCCACTGTTACACATCTTTTCTCAGCTAATCTCTATGCCTAGCCTCTGCAATTGCTGGATCGTGGAAGTAAACAGCAGTGGCTGAGGAAATTTTTAAAACCGGGGTTATGGCAACCAGCTGCAGCCATAACCCCGAAATTGCACGTCAAAACCTCAACATCATATATACGTCTTAAACCAAACAAAAAAAAAAACAAAAAAAAAAACAAAAAAAAAAAAAAAAAAAAAAAAAAAGCTCATTTTGCAGCTAAATAGGCCTTCGATGTGCTGGGAACCTTAGGTTTAAAAAAAAAAAAAACCCCCCAAAAAACTAAATATATTTTATTCCAGTACAGAATGCAGTGGACTTGTTACTTGCTGTGGATCAAATCCTCAAAGTTATTGATCTGAACAATTATCCCCCTCAAAACAGAACCTTTATTTCTGCTGCCCTCAATTGTCAACTCAAACCTCAATGCCAGCCAGAAGTTAAGAAGATCTTTTGAAAAAAATCCATGTGTCAATCTTTGTTGACTTTTACTTGCATAACTTCTTAAAAAAAAAAAAAAAAAAAGCCCCCATTCATATCTAGGCTTTTGCAAACACATTTTTTTTTTTTATTTCAATGGGCTGCTCTACACACAGCAAAAGTGGTTTGAGTAGCTTTCTGCCATGTTGAGCTATGAGCATTTTTTAACCACGTGCTTTGCCACATTTTTGCACATGGAAAAATACAAGTCGGCTTGCTGCATTTGGGGTGCTATTAACAATGAATGGCACCGCAAATGCAACACACGGTCTTAGCAGGTTCACAAAACACACAAGCGTGAATGGAGCCTAACATGTACAGTAAAATCATGATAGCACAATTCAAATAACACATTCATTAGACTTCTTTGAATTAAACACTATTATCAGAAACATAGCTAGATATATAATTAGATATAAGTTAATCAAATGTAAACTGCTCAAAAAAAAATTAAAGGAACACTTTTTAATCAGGAATATAGCATCAAGACAAACTCCTGGGGTATTGATCTGGTCAGTTAAGTAGCAGAGGGGGTTGTTAATCAGTTTCAGCTGCTTTGGTGTTAATGAAATTAACAGGTGCACTAGATGGGCAACAATGAGACGACCCCCAAAACAGGAATGGTTTTACAGGTGGAGGCCACGGACATTTTTTTCCCTACTCAGCTTTTCAGACTGTTTTTCACTAGTTTTACATTTGGCTAGAGTCAGTGTCACTACTGGTAGCATGAGGCGATACCTGGACCCTACAGAGGTTGCACAGGCAGACCAAGTCCTCCAGGATGGCAAATCAATACGTACCATTGCCAGAAGGTTTGCTGTATCTCCCAACACAGTTTTAAGAGCATGGAGGAGTTTCCAGGAGACAGGCAGTTACTCTAGGAGAGTTGGACTGGGCCGTAGAAGGTTCTTAACCCATCAGCAGGACCGGTATCTGCTCCTTTGTGCAAAGAGAAACAGGATGATCACTGCCAGAACCCGTCAAAATGACCTCTAGCAGGCCACTGGTGTAACTGTCTCTGACCAAAACAATCAAAAAGCAGGACTTCATGAGGGTGGCCTGAGGGCCCGACATCCTCTAGTGGGCCCAGTGCTCACTGCCCGGCACCATAGAGCTCGATTGGCATTTGCCATTGAAAACCAGAATTGGCAGGTATGCCAATGGCACCCTGTGCTTTTCACAGATGAGAGCAGGTTCACCCTGAGCACATGCGACAAACGTCAAAGGGTCTGGAAAGACAGTGGAGAACATTATGCTGCCTATAACATTGTTCAGCATGACAGTTTTGGTGGTGGGTCAGTGATGGTCTGGGGAGGCACATCCATAGAGGGATGCACAGAACTCTGCAGGCTAGAAAATGGCACCCTGACTGCCATTAAGTATAGGGATGAAATCCTTGAACCCATTGTCAGTGTAGTGGGTCCTGGGTTCTCCTAGTGCACGACAATGTCCGGCTTAATGTGGCGAGAGTATGCAGGCAGTTCCTGGAGGATGAAAGAATTGATAGCATTTAATGGCCCCCACGCTCACCTGACCTAAATCCAATAGAACACCTCTGGGATATCATGTTTCAGTCCATCCGACACCGCCAGGTTGCACCTCAGACTGTCCAGGAGCTCAGTGATGCCCTGGTCCAGCTCTGGGCAGAAAAACCCCAGGACACCATCCGTTGTCTCATTAGGAGCATGCCCCGACGTTGTCCGGCATGCATACAAGTACGTGGGGGACATACAAACTACTGAGTAAGATTTTGAGTTTCTGCAATTAAATTTCAGCAAAATGGACTAGCCTGCTGAATAAAAATTTTTCACTTTGATTTTCAAGGTGTCTTTGAATTCAGTCCTCTGTAGGTTAATCATTTCCATCAAACGATGGGGCATATCTACATTCCTAACACATTACCCAGTCCATATCAGTATAGATATCCAGCATATGTTTCCCCATTGATATCTGATGTGTTTATAAAGTGTTCCTTTAATTTTTTTAGAGCAGTGTATTAATTACTCACCTGGCATTTTGAGCCACTGGTTTACACACATTTTTGCATCACTTGCACCAGGACGATCCTTGTTAAGCGCCAACTCTTGCAACCCATGTGCACGCTGGGAGTTTAACTTGTCCTGCATAATCATGAAAGAAAACCTCTATAAAATAAGTAGATAAAAGTTTGAGTCATTGCAGTTTGTACATACATCCATCGTGACACATGGTTAAAGTCCTGGTCATATATCTTAGGCAGAAATTGTCTAACAGCACTCGTTCCCAGAGATACATAAATATGCAGGTGTAAAAGTGATGACATGTTTCGCATTGACAGCGATGTGATGTAATAGTCTTTTTGCTTACGCTGTGTAATGAGACACCTAGCTAACAAGTGGGAAGCCTCACTTTTGTCATTCACTGTGTGCACTGCTAGTAGTATGGAGTCATGTCAGAGCTTACGGAGCTTCAAAGAGGGCAAATTGTTGGTGCCCACTTAGCTGGTGCCTCTGTGATTGGAGTTGCCAATTTCTTGCCGTGTTGCGAGGTATTCTATCAAAGGTTATGATGGGATATACATTTTCCATAAAAACGTCGTCTGATAAGCATAAGTGTGGTTGACATGGTCAACTGACCAAAAGAGACAAACCTTTTGCCTTCACAACTGCCTCAATCCTTCGTGGCATAGATTCAACAAAGTGTTGGAAACATTCCTCAGAGATTTTGGTCCATATTGACATGATAGCATCACGCAGTTGCTGCAGATGTGTTGGCTGCACATCCATGATGCTAATCTCCCGTTCCACCACATCTCAAAATGTGCTCTATTGGATTGAGATCTGGTGACTGTGGAGGCCACTGGAGTACAGTGAACTCATTGTCACGTTCAAGAAACCAGTTTGAGATGATTTGAGCTTTGTGACATTATTAGTGCATTATCTTGGTGGAAGTAGCCATCAGAAAATGGGTACACTGGAACACAGTGTACCCTTCTGCTGCTGTAGCCCATCTGCTTCAAGTTTTGACGTGTTGTGTGTTCAGAGATGGTATTCTGTAAACCTTGGTTGTAAAGAGTGATTATGAGTTACTGTTGTCTTTCTAACCTCTCGAACCAATCTGCCCATTCTCTGACATCAACAAGGCATTTTCGTCCACACAATTCCCGCTCATTGGATATTTTCTCTTTCAGATCATTTTCTCTAAACCCGAGAGATGGTTGTGCGTGAAAAATCGCAGTAGATCAGCGTTTTTTTAAATACGCAGACCAACCAGTCTGGCACAAACAACCATGCCATGTTCAAAGTCATATCTCCTTTCTTCCTCATTCTGATGCTCAGTTTGAACCTCAGCAAGTAGTCTTCACCATGCTTAGATGCACTGAGTTGCTGTCATGTGATTGGCTGATTAGCAATTTGTGTACTTAATAAAGTGGCCAGCGAGTGTATATGTATGTGCAATGTAGAAGGCGCCAAGGATACGTTGTGGAGGGGCGTTATTTTTGTTCATTTTGAGAGGTTCTCAGCCCTAGCTGAGAGATTTGAGGGAAATGCCAACAAGAGGGGAAATTGGTTAGCTGTTTCCCCTGTGTTTCTTTAGTTTGTTATAGGTCTCTGGAGTCTGGCGACTTTAAGAGTTAAAGGGAGGGACGAGTCTCCAATCTCTCACCCCCAGGAGCCGAAGGGTCAATGGCCTGATCTGGGAGGAGGGGTGTATTAAGGGCATAGCCCTCACCTAGCAGGGGGCTGTGTGAGCTGTGTGTGGGAAGACACATTGCTAAAAAAACAGTGTCTGCTCCTAAACTGCCACTCCATTTTGCAGGAGTTGCTATGCGCTGTGTTTGACCCTCGGAGAAAGGCGAGGACACAGCCCCGGAGTGACAGCTCCGTGGAGCGACCTATTCTCTGGATGGCGGTAGAGGTAGAAGGACTATTACACTGCTGATGGGACAGATATATATATATATTTGAAGAAAAAAAAAAAAAAATTACCCATAACCCACAATGGTGGTACATTCAAAGATAACACACAGATATTGACCCAGCTTCCTGCGTCTATCACCTACAGGCCTCTGCCTTTTAAGCCTCATTAGCCAATACTGACGCATAGGGGACAAGGTTAACTCAATAAGTGAAGTTGATGTGCATACCAGAGTACCCAAGGACTTGGGCACCCAGGGCACTGCTTTGGATGACATTGGCCATAATATGCACTGCTAGCTGAGATTACATCTAGCATGTGCAATAAAATTAAAGCCTAACTCCCAAAGGATTTCTTTTTTCTTCTCGGTTTAAGTTTTGACGGGGTGGAAAAAAAAAAGTTTAGAATCTCTAACAAGGAACAATATCAAACAAAGCTGCAAGCAGAGTATGATCAAAACCTCTCTGTCAGGTTTGTACATCTGTCGTGTCTCCCTTACCAAGTGATATTTGACATTTCTTGTAAGTTAGAGGAGATGTACCTAGTTGGGTCACATACAACAAAAAGCTGAAAGCTCAAATCAAAACCATAGAGATGAATGAATCTGATAGGCCTGTTTCTCGGACTCTGGGTTTCAACAAACATGCAGACAGTTCAAGCCAGCAACTGAGAAGCAGTGTTGTAAGCCAACCCTTTGAGATTGGTTCTCCATATCTTCTATCAAGAACCTAACAAGGTCCGAGTAAGTGTGATGAAAATCACAGGAATGCCTCGTTTCTTGATCCTACAGCACATGCAAGGAAGGATTTTCATAGGAGGAAAGTCATAAGTCAGGTTGAACCAATCCTAGACAGTTGCCAGAGTGTCTATGCAAAGTTTAGAGGATCCCTGGACCTGGACTCTTGATCCCTAAACTGAAACCTGCTCAGTTTACTGTTGAACCTGGAAGCCAGCAGGTCCTTGTCCAAAAGTTCCCCATCTGAGACAGAGGTCCTGAAATGTCTCAGGGTTAGGAGATGATTCTTCGAAGTCCAAATATTGCCAACTGAGGACGTCTACAAGTTTTCCACACCTGGATGTGCAGAATGATAAGCTGGCATCCATCGGGAGAATTTTCCAAACCTTAGGTAGTAAAGATTTCCCCAATTAGAGTGATGAACTAGTGATTCACCATACCAGGACAAGCCTGGTTTGCTCATTATGCATATGGCACAGATTGCTCCCTCCAATCCCATGCTGCCAGAATACCAAGTTGCGGTGTTCTGGAGTGAAAGCTGCACCTGCAGAAGACTAAAAACGCCTACCTGGTAGAACTGTGGGAAGTTGAACAGAGGACTAGGTAGCAATCTTACAAAGTTGAGATCCCAAGGAAGCATAGGGCACTACAGGGAAATCAGAGCGAGATAAAGCTTGAATAAAAGTTGACAAAGAAGAGCAAAGCCAGAAGTTTTGAAAAAAAAAAAACAGGCAAGGCTGAAACTTGTTCTTGCAGAGGTACTAAATGCCAAGTTCTGGTGCACACCAGATTGTAGGAAGACCAAAATGCAAGAGACAAAAGTAATCTATGAAACTGAAGTGCTTGTGTACACATCAGGCAAAGAAGGATTTCCGGTTACGATCGTCAATCTTTCTGAAAGAGGCTTCTCTTGCTTTTAACAAACGTGGAGAAAACACCCTCCTATTTCTCTTAAAACCTGTGCTTCAAAAGCCAGGCCAATAAAGCTAGAGACTAAGAAGAAGAATGGAAAAGAGGTCCCCGAGACAGTATGTCTGGCCTGTTGGGAGGAGACCATGGGTTTTCTTCTAGTAGGTTTGTGTACAAGGTTCTTCTGGCCAGTTTGGGGCAAACTTCTTCTCTGGCGCTATCTTGGGGAGTAGAGGAGGTAGAATTTGCACTTTGTGGCAGACACAGAATAGCAAAAACTTAGACCTGGGGATTTCCAAGGCATTCAATGCCAAGCGATCCTTGGTTCTAGTCAGAAACAGGGATATCAGTTTATTAAATCTGGAGGCCAGGATTTCCCATTTTTTTGGCAAATCAGTTTGAAGATGTCTAGGTGAAGAGAGCATTCTTCTTGATCCAGGAGGCGGTGGCTAATGTAAGGCTAAGGTAATCCGCTTTCCAGTTGTCCACTCACTATATGTGGACTGCAAACAATGCTGATTCTGTGTGCCCCCTTTATGGTCTTTGTAAGGACATTGCCATGACATTTGCTGACTGCACCCTGATCGGGTGTCCTTGCAGAGCTTGCCTTACTGCTCTGAGCTCCAGGATGCCGATGGACAGCTTGGCTTCCAAGGATGACCATGTTCCCCGGACTGTGAAGGACTGAACACTCCACCCCAGTCTTAAAGGCTGGCATCTGCTGTTATCACTTTCCAGTGATAAGGAAGAAAAGACCTCCTTGCTGTTGAGGCTGGGCTGGAGATCCACCAAATTAGGAAATTCCTTACTTGGCTGGATGGAAACCATGGGCAGATCAAGAGAAGGAACATGCTTGTTCCAGGTCAACAAGATGTGCGGGAAAGATCTCAAATGAAATTGGGTGAATGGTACAGCCTCAAAGGAAGCTACCAAAAGGCCTAGAACTCTCATCTGACCTTAATTCTTGACTGTGAGCTCTAAAAAGTGAGAATTGTCTTCTCTGGGAGGATACTTTGCTTGGGCTGTATCTAGGACCAACTCAAAGTATTCCAGGGAAAGGGAAGACTGGAGAACAGGTTTATGGAAATGGATTACCCAATCGAAAGCCTGGAGCTGCTTAATTGTCCTGTGGACATTTGAAGACAGCTGGAAGAAAGAGGAGTCCATCATAAGTTCACCCAGATAATCCATGACCAGGATGCCCCGAGTTCTGAGAAGGACAAGAAGAGGTGCTAGGACCTTTGTGAATACTCTAGAATCAGAGGATAGTCCAAAAGACAATGTGACAAACTATCTTGTGGGAGCAATGGCACAACCACTCCCTTTGACAAGATATGGTTCAGACTATTCTAAAAATCTGAGTATTTGGTAGATTTGAGATTAGAAGGTGGTAAGAGGCTAGAGTTTTTGAACTCCATTTTGTATTCTTTGAAAACACAGATTGAACCCATAGGTCTGAGACATCTGTGACCCAAAAGGGAAGCAAACGAACGGATGTCTCCTAACTCTTAGGAGTGGTGATGCTCCAGCTAGTGAGAAGGGGGCTTTGTAGGCCACGTCTTATGCCAAAAGGAAGGGCCGAAATTCATAATAAAATCATCATGTACAACGATAAATCATAATCACATTAGATTCACATGATAAATACATAAACAAGGAAATCAATGAGAGAACTGATCTCTGCAAAAAGCCACTCAGTATTTGGATGATAGTATGGACCTAGCATTAATGAATACAACATAATCATACGAATTGCGATAAGAAAAAAAAACACTTGTATACAGTACATATATTCCATATGATTTACATCCAGTTTCTCAATTTTTGTAAAATAAATAAATAATATATATCTATCTATCCAGAGAAACGTCAGAGTAGAATGGTTGCCCCCTACCCCCACCCATTTTTACAACAGTTTTTCCAAGTTCACTGGCAAGACTCAGAACAAGTAGGGTTCAAACTGTGGTGTCCGCCCAGTCTACTGATGGGGAAGTTCTCCTCTCCTGGAGGACATCGGATGATGAACCGCGTAGGGCAGGGCTTAGGATGTGACGTCACCACGTATTGGTGAGCTGCTGCTGCTATCTGCCTAGACCGGAGCAGCACCTGTCAAAGTGATTTTGTTATGGCTGTGATGCTAGTGCAGCGATATGCGAGTGGTTTTAATACGGTTTGCATTGAATAAAGCCTTTTACGGTTTTACACTACGTGGATTCCTTTTCTTCTTTCTCCATCTACAGTTCTGGTTATACGAGGAGCAAGTACGATGTGAAGAAGTTTCTGATCATACAGGAGGAGCAGGTGGTATCAGAAAAGTTCTTTAAGTCTATGAGGCGCCAATTACTCGTTAAAGGATTACTCATCAGCTGCTATGTGCTGCTACAGATTATTGCTCCCAGAGTACAAGCGTATTTAGCTGGTTTATAATCTTACCAGCATGGAGCTCTGGTGAGTGAATTCACTTAATTTGGTGGTGGAGTTTTTCACGTTTTTCCACATTATATGAGAAAGTTTAACCACAAGCCTACAGGGCACTTATACCCCCTTCCTGCCCAGGACAATTTCCAGCTTTCAGCGCTGTCGCACTTTGAGTGACAATTGCATGGTCATGCAACACTGTACCCATATGAAATTTTTATCCTTTTTTTGTGACAGATAGAGCTTTATTTTGGTGGTATTTAATCACCTCTGTGTTTTTTTATTTTTTCTTAAACCAAAAAACCAAATTTTTGAAATTTTGAAAAAAAAAAAAAACCAAAACGTTTTTTCTTAGTTTTTGTTATAAAATTTTGTAAATAAGTTATCTTTTTTTCCTTCACTGATGTGCACTAATGAGACTGCGGTGATGGGCATTGACAGGCATCACTGATAGGCACTGACAGGTGGCACTGAAAAGCAGCTCAGATGGGCACTGGCATGAGGCATTGATGTGCACTGGTAGGCACTGATATGTGGCACTGATGGGCACTGGCACTGATGAGCACTGGCATGAGGCACTGGCACGAGGCACTGATGAGCACTGGCACGAGGCACTGATGAGCACTGGCACGAGGCACTGATGAGCACTGGCACGAGGCACTGCTGGGGCACGAGGCACTGCTGGGGCCACACTGATCATCAGGGCACACGGATCATCAGTGCCTTGATGATCAGTGTACATGTCCCCTTTGCGGAAAGCCGATTACCGGCACTCCTCACGAGCTGTCAGCATGACAGCTCGAGAGGAGAGAAATGCCGATCACCGGCATTTCCCTGTTTACATGTGATTGGACACAGCTGATCACATGACCGAGCCGACATCTTCGGCTCTTTCTGTGATCCGCTGTGTCCACTGAGCCGCGCATGCGCGGTGAGAATGGGAGGACATCATATGACGTCTTCCCAGAACGAGAGAACCACCTTGCGTCTGTTATATTACTATATGGCAGGTGGGAGGTGGTCAAGAAGATTTATTGGATCACGTTTTAATAATTTATTTATACTTTTCAATTTATATATACTTTTCACACTATATTTTTTGCAGTAAGGACTTTCAGTTGGACACTGGTTTATATATACACACACACACACACACACACACACACACACACACCTTTTTTTTTTGCACTAATTGTTTTAATTTGGCCCAGATTTATATTTATTGATTGTACTGTTACATGTATTTGTTATATTAATTTTATTAGTTGTGTTCACTCAGTAAGATTACTATCCAGAGATATATTACTATGAAGAGAGCTACTTTATTTCCATTTCAGATTGTTAGCCTGTGTTACAGGGGCTAGTTAGCCACTCTTCCAAATATATCTGTTTGCAATATGCACAGATTTTTTTTTTGGTTCCATAGGCGCTTTCACCAAATTGTTATTTCATATTTGGAATAATAGCCCAAGTAGAGCAAACCTGGTTCTCTACACCCGATACACAGACGATATCCTGATTATCTGAGATGGTCTGAACCACACATTAGAAGAATTCAGTACCCCTTCAGGCCACCATCTTCTGACCCTTTAAGAAGTTCTAAATGCTGGGAGGTGGGCAATCCGATCCCTGTGTTTGGCAGTAACATGACGGGAATGCACCCGATCGCAAGTATGCATCAGGAGCTTTCAGTACTCAATGGTTACTGTGCTGGGAGTGCTCTCTCTGCACAGTAATGTGTTTACATATGGATGAATATATGCAGCTGCTTGGAATTAAAGCCCACCCAGAGAGGCTGCATATATGCGTACTGCTGGCAGCAACTGGTTAATCACCACCAAAGCAAACCCCTTTGGGATAGAATTCACATATGACACAGACTCCAACCGGTTGGTATTTTTTTAGATCTAAAACTCAGTTTTGCATTTTACCAGATTTACCTAGACACACCTTAATGTGCTTTTTTTTTTTTTTGTTATCTTGCTTCTATTTCTCTACCTCACCTGAAATGCTTTGCTTTTCTCTGCTTGCTTCTGTTTCTCTGCCTCAACACGGCGTGCAAGACGATCGAGGGTTGCAGCCACTTTTTCCATTGGATGGACAACATGATTTTTAGCTTTTCTCTAACAATACAAAAAATCTCCCAACAGTAAGCAAACAAAAATAATTTAAATATAAATGGTTGTTTTTATTAAAATACACACAACAAAAAGGAGAAAATATAGCTCACAGTAACACTGGTTACTAATTACCCACACAACAATGTTTCAGCGTAGCAAGTCAAAATTATTTTATTACAATGAAATGAGCTTAGAACAAAAAAATTACTACAGAATTGAAAACTAACAAACATACACAAACATTTAAGACACCTAGGTATAAAAGGCCATATAGCAGCTTTATGTTTGGGGTCATTGTTTAAAAAATGACCTGACAAATGTACATTGCACTTTGCTTGCATCAGGATTTGGAAGCAAGCAGAGCACTACTGATAAAAATAATAAAGAAAAAATGTTTTCAAAGGAGAAGAGTTTTATCTTGAGTAGTATCTGCCCCTGGGATCAGTTTGCTTTATAGCAAGCTACCAAGTAAACACATTGATAGAGACTTCATTAAAACAAACTTACATTCTGGTACAAAGTCTGTGAATCATCATCACTAACCAGGTCAATACATTCCAGGACAGGTCTTGAAGGTCCCTCCTGCATAGCACAATAAGGATCACTGTAAGATAGGCTTAGACAAAGAATCCCATTAAAAAACAAAACAAAAAACTAAACTTTGATATTTTTGCATATTATATACACTTTTTTTTTTTCTTAAAAGACTAGCAAAAGAGCACTTGTTCCAAAATGGGTAAGTTTGGCAGCATTGCTCATCATCAGGACAGAATATATTGTGCAAGTTGCTGGAATCAAAAGGGGAGACTTGTGGGGTAAAGTGAGCTACCTGGGTAGGGAACGGTTGTGATTGGGCAGAAATACACTGGAACTAGGTATATAATTGCCCAGTACACATGAGCAGATAATCGGAAGACTTCAGCTCATTTTTTGTTGCATGCTAGTCTCAAATCGAAAATGAAGAGGTTACTAAAGTTACGAAAACTTTCGTACGACAGAATACAACTTAGGAGGTGACACGTATTGCACGGTATTGTAATGTATTCTTTCGTTTCTGAGCATGCACGATCTTAGTCTGTCAATTTTGTTTGGACAAATGCTGTACTGATTAAAAGGAAAAAAAATTTGCGCCGTTCTCATATGTAAAAAAAATTCGTGCTTGTTCCTTTGGATATTGTCGCATGAACTGTCATGAACAACTGTTGAAAGCTGCGTACTAAATCAGATTAGCATACGATCCCTCTGAAAGCGACTTTAGTCATCTGATTTTCTGATCATGTATACGGGGCATTAGATTACTACAGCCCAAACGCCAAAAAGTTGAAACACTGTAAAATCTACCGGTACATTAAAAAAAAAAACAAAAAAAACACCCATTCGAAAGTAGTTAGCACTTCTTGAAAAACCAAAATTACGACAAAGACGACCCAGGACTGTTGAGCAGTTAGAATCCAGTATCAGGCAAGAATGGGACAACATTCATCTCCTAAAACTCTTGCAACTGGTCTCCTCAGTCTAGAGATGATTACAGGTGTTGTTAAAGGAAGAGGATATGCTACACTGTGGTAAACAGGGCCCTGTTCCAAAAAAAGTTTTTTTTCTTAAAAATGGTACAATTTCTCAGTTTAAACATTTGTTATGTTTTCCCTTATCTATTGTGAATAAAATATAGGTTTATGAGATTTTCAAATCATTGAATTCAGTTTTTATGTAGATTTTACACAGCATCCCAACTTTTTTGGAAATGGGGTTGTAATGTGTTGTTAATCCGGCCATACGCAAATTAAATTCGGCCAGTTCAGCAGGAACTAGATGACTTTTGATCCATTTATGGGCAGGCTGGTTGTACTAAAGACGATCGAACAACTTTAGCCCAACCAGTCTGTCAGGTTTTTTTCCCTCATACACATCACTGCTGGTGGCTGCCAGCAATGATCGTTGTACTGTCATGTCAGGGAAACATACAATAGCACAGTGGGAGGAATTCCCCCCCATCAACACAGAGCGATCTTCCCTTCTTTCAACTCATGGTTGAAAGAAAGAAAAAAAATGCATACTCTATGGCCTCCTTTAGTGGGTGTGAGATGGTTGGGGAAAGGGGGATGAAAACTGCGCTGAGAGGAAGTGGATGTTGGCAGTGAGGAGGTTGGGGAGGGGAAGTTGAGTGGCCCAGAGAGGGAAGTGCTGTGAGTGTACAAAAGAGGGGAAGGATTCACAGTGTTCAGGGTGACCATGATTGGCGGAGATGCAGATAAGCTGGTAGTATTGTGCTGGGTATAGGAGCCATGTTAACCATTCATAGCAGTGGTGCTCTCGGCAGCTGGAATAAAAGCTGCTGACACATTGGTATCTGCTGGTAAATTCACTCCTACTACCATTACTTCAGTCTCTAATGTCACTACCGCATGCGCAGAATACTGCTGCCATAATGCAACAACATTTCCGCACTGCGTTATTCCTTCAATACATGCACAGTCTGGTGAGATCACACACACTAGGGACCTTAGAGATGAGTCACTACCGAATATGGATGGATCTCACTACACCCCTCAGCATAACTACTACTGCACAAGCATGGGGTACATGGCCAGTATATAGTGGTGCAGTACACAGTGGGGGAGCCCCTTCCTCCTTTGAAACCACATATAACATTAACCACTTACGGGAAGTGGTTGTTATATACATGTTTTCAAAGTCTTGGCCTTAAATTCCATGTGGTCCAGCAAGCCACATGGGCATTCAAAGAGATAATCAGTGCGATTATATATAAAAGAAAGACTTAACTGCAGAGCATCTATTTCCAATAACTGTACAGATGACACATTTACTATGGGGGGGAAACCTTTTGCACCTCCAAAAGGACCATCTAAATAAAACTTACGGTGCATCCAGTAAAACTTACGCTAATATAGCATCTTATTCAGTTCCTCATTATTAAAAAGGGTTGAGAGTAGCATGTATCCGTCCATACAAGCCACCTTCTTAATCAGCCCCCCATTTACTCCTGACTGTATCCTTTCTATACCAATCTATTTTGCAAATCCAAAGCCTGTGAAAAATAATCCTCATAACGATTTCAATACCTTCTTGTCCTAACAATCTGTCTTTGAGATGTTTTTCAACTTGGGGGTGGTGGCAATCATTGGTAGGAATAAAATTGTTCATATCCATGATTTTGAAATAGATTTGTGTGCCAATTACACCCTCTTTCTGAAAACCGAGTGAGGTCAAGAAATGAATCCAGATGACCGGAAACGTATCCCAGAGACTGATATTACAGTGTGCAAAATTGAAATACATTATAAAACTGACATATTCTAAAGCCAGATGTAATTTACGCTACAATATGATATAGAATTAAATGAAAGCTATGTCACATATCTGGTCGGGGATTTGTGAAACTGCTTTCACTTGCTTTTCTTTCATTTTATTATTATATCAATCTTTAAAAGTATTTAGCAATTACTTCTGGCTTCAGAATATCTTAGTTTTATAATATATTGTAATTGGTTTTGCACACTGTAATAATCAGTCCCTAGAAGGTCTGAAGTATGGGATTTGGATGCTCTGATCTAAAGAGGATGAGTATAGGTTAGCATATTCCTTATTTTCAAGTGTATAGTCAGTGTAATCAGCCCCTGATTATATCGGATTGGACGAAACGCCTTGGGCGGAACTGAGTGCATCTGGCATCATACACTGCTGTCTCTTGGTAAGCAGCAATGTACATACAAGTGTTGCTAGCTGGCTTATCTTGTTTTCATGATCCTGTATTTAAGACATTTTAAAAATTGCTACACTACAATGAGTTCTCTTCCTGCCCCTTCTGTTATATGTGAAATCAAGGGTTGCCTTGCTTTGATGTAGGGAGCAGAGTCATCACAGTTAGGATACAAAGATCTGGATGTACGAGAGCTGCTTGTAAGCAGTCCATTCTGGTACAGCAGCTGCTGCTGCTTCACTTGACATTGCACCCATAATCCATTGATCGAGGTTGCTGCAATGCTTTGCAAGCTCCAGTGTAAAAATAAATAAATCAATCCACGTTTTTTAGCTTCAAAATCAAGTGCATATATTATCTTGTTACTAAAGGTAAGCTTAGCCTTTAATAAAGTAGAAGCTGAATGGAATTGGAAAATATATATGCCAAACATGGCCACAATCCTAGTTCTGACACAATCCACATGAAAGCAGTAAACTAACCATGGGCTTCAGATCTGGTTTAGAAAAAGGTGTGGTACTTTTCCTGTCACCTGTTAACAGCAACTGGGATGACAGGGGTTAAATAAGCACTTGCTATATGACAAAGCTGCATGTGGAGATCAGTCAGCACATAACCATATGAAATACTTACACTTACAAATTCCACCTCTTCTTCACTCACATGGTCATCCTGTATCAGCTTTTCTTTTGCTACCATGTCATTTTCATTAGCGTCCATAATAAAGAACGTACTAATTAACCTGTTCTAGTAGGCAAAATAATACCCTAGGGATAAAAAGACACAAATGAAAATCATTACGATTGTTGGCAAGCCTTCACAAAATGTATGCAATTTGGTGCTGAAAACGGTCATCCCACTATTTTAACCTTTTTGCTGCCAGTCATTTTTGCACACGTTTAAAAAAAAAAAAAAAAAAAAAAAAAAAAAAAAAAAAATCATTTTAGGCCTGAAGATTGCATTAACCTCCAACAAAATATTTTCTGAAAGCAGACACCCTAGAGATTAAAAAATAGTTGTTGTAGCAGTTTTTTTAAGTCACACAATATTACCGCAGGTCTAAGAAACACAAAAAAGTCCAGTAAAAATACACTAAAGTTCATTTTAGAGCACAAAAAACACAATGAATTACCAAATTTTTGGGTAAAATATAAAAGATGAGGATGTACCAAGCAGGGTGGATTTGATTTAAATAAAACTGATTTAAATCACTAGTCAGTAAGGCTTGATTTAAATCCTAGTTTTCTACATAAAGACTAATTCTTGCTGGTATAACTTTAATATGCAAGTAGATGAAGATTTTTAGAACAACAACTTTTCATCTTAGTTTTTTTATCCCCAGTTTAATATATTTGGACAACTTTTCTGTTGTATTTAGGAAGGAGAAAAATAATCATTACCTTAATAATAACAATTTAAATAGATTTATTCAACCGAAACAATAACATTACAGCATATGTTATTTGCCTAAACAAACATCCATGTTTGTTAACTAATTTGGCTAAACAAAATATATATATTTTAAGAAACTTACACTGTCAGCCCCTTCCTCCTCACACTTAGTTTCACTTTCTTCTTGTGCAGATCTATTCCACTCCAAACAATCAGAAAAATATTTTTTCTATTCTATTCACTGAACTTCTTGAAACTTAGCACTGAAGGGGTTGATTCTGTATTCATAGGTTTGTAGAAGTTAGGATTAAAGTCTTTTTCTTAGCTTTGTTCATGTTATAACATTTTTGCTGTGAAGAAGAGGCATGTGATCTCCGCTGAGTCAAACTCAGTTTTGAGAACTGCAAAAGTAAACCAAGCATCTGTGATAATATCTTGTAGGCAGAGAAACTGCCCAATAATCTTACAAAAACCTCTGGAAGAGCATGACATTGTGAATGGATTAATGGAATTTATTTACCAAAAAAAATTAAACATATACAGCCTTATTCTACATAATTAAAAAACTAATCTTTATTTCATGATGGAATAACCTTTGGATGGTAATATATTTTCCTCAAAAAGCATTTTATTTAAAAAAATCTGATTTAAATAAAAAAAAATTTGATTTAAATTTTTTAAAAAAATCCGATTTTTTTGATTTTTTCAAAAAAATCATTTATTTTTATCCACCCTGGTACCAAGTAAACAGATAACCAACACGTCAAACCTTAAAACCGTAACTTCACTTTCGTTGGAAAAAAAAAAAACAAATAAAAAAAAAAATAATATATCATATACAATTGCAACACAAGTCATTGTAATTGCATATTAAAAATTGCCTTTCCTGTTCAATCTGCGGCCCTGTAATTTACTGTAAAATGCAATATGGCTACCTTGAAGTGTTCTGTAGGCAGAATGTGTACAGAACACACCCCCAAAAACATTTCCTGCTTGTGTTTTTGGCTCACTGATTTTCAAAGAAGTCTGCACTAAGATACAAGTCAAGATTCAGGCATCCCCTGCAACAAAAATTTTAATTTTGGCGAGATACTCTCAATAGGGAGTCACGTCTAAAGGGATACAGACCCTGCAATTTTCAATTTCAAATTAGAGCTCTGCAAGTGCAGCAGCTGATTGATAATTATGAAGCCACTCCCATTAGATTCACTTTCCACATGAACACAAACAGCAATTTCTTCAGAATAAAGTAAGGAATCTGCAACAGAGTTTGTTAAAATTCTTGCAATGTCCATAGATCACCCAGAGGAATGTTTTTTTTTTTTTTCCAACAAAAGTGGAGTTACTCTTTAGGTTTGCGAGCGTCCGTTAAATGACAACAAACATCAATACTCTATATTTGAAAACTTCCTATAGGTCATCAGTTTGGCATTATAGAGGTCTGGTGCTAGAAATATTGCTCTCACTCTGGCGTGCACAGCTAATGTAACAGGTGATTGATGTTTTCATGCAAAGGCGCCCCAGACACGCAAGTTTATGTTCATACGTGTGTATATGCGTGTGTGTGTGGGGGGGGGGGGGGGGGATTGGGAATTTTATTAGCTTGGGTGTAACTTTAATCTTTTTTTTTTTTTTTTTTTAAAATCACACAGGGAATAATAAGTCCTCTATGTGATGATTTTTTGGTGACAGGTTCTCATTAATGAGATATTCAGTCCTCCACTGAATCTATTGCAGTGCAGATTGCACTGCATTAGACTCTTTCGCTGCCATACTTGCTGGGGACACTGATGTAGGGACCAGAAGTGATGTCTTACACATTGCTTCCAGGTCAGCAACAAGAAGTGGGGACGAGAGCGGACGCTATGCTGGTCCGGCAGCTGCTTGCATCTAACAGGCAGGATAAACTCATGGACATAGCAGCAAAAGGGTTAAAGAATTCCAGGTATGGCAATTTTTTTTATATATAGTTACATTGGTCCAGCTTGGAAAAGGCCCTTGTACTGAGAAATCTGTAGGATGGTACTGTGTTTTTGGACATCTCTGACCTACAATATCTACTGAAACTGTTAAAGTATCTCTTGCCCCATTGATCATCTTTAAATAAAATAGAGCTGTCAACAGTGGAGTAGTCTTCTAATGACAAGACCATTAGGGTTTGTTAATCAAGGCAAGAGTTTAAAGAACATAACTAATTCCAGGTATGGCATTTTTTACAGCTCATGACTGTCCAGCAAGTACAGTGGACAAGAATGGCTGAGGAGGTTAAAAATTGAAAGGATAACTAAACCCAAGAACAAAAAAAAGATGATATATTGCAGCTTATAAGTTTTTAAATGTGGTGCTGCAATGGTTCTCTTTTTTTCAGGACAAAAACATATTCAGCAAGTGCAAAAAAAAAAAAAAAAAAAAAAGTTGATCTTGCCAGAAATGCAGTATCCACCTCAGTTCCAGTGCTTTGCCTGCTACTAATAGCATTGTTGACATGTTCCTGGTAGACAGTGACCCCTGCATTCTGTGTGCTATACACTCTGGCTCAGAAGCAGGCTCCGGTTTTATCTAACCATATACCTTTGAGTAATTCTTACTTATGATGCAATTAAGCCACACCCACTCATCAATTTCTCTCCATTAATGTGAAACTTTACCCAAAGCAACATGAAAAAATTAAAAATAAATTAATAATAAATAGGAACATACATTCCCCATTAATAATTATGCCACCAAAATTAAATTAGTGTCTGCTCTAAATTTCTTCCAGCATTGTTCCTGTTTCTTTCTTGCCGTAGGCTGCCACTCTGCTGCAGCCCACTGCCACTGAGAAGCAGAAAATTTTTAGGCTGTCAGCAGATCGACCTCTACATTTTTGGCACAGTACATGTGCAGAGCAAGGCAATGCAATTTAAAAAGCCACAGATATGGGAAATTACCCTTTAAATAGCCATATTAACGTGTGTGCGTGTGCGTGTGTGTGAAGGCCAAACATACTAGCATATGAAAACTTTTGATCATGGCCATTTGGGTGATTTCTGTTATTAGGATTTAAAAAGGAGCCAACTATGCGATAATAAATAGCTTCATATGATCACTATCCTTAAAGGGATACGTTCACCTTTGGGAACATGTTATGTGTTCCTACCATTTTTAGGGTGGAACATGTTCCCATAGCTGCAACCGTGCCCGCCGCCCTCCCTCCCTCTGACAGATAGTATGGGGAGAAGTTTCCCCGTACTGTCAGATTTGAAAACAGCGCGGTTGTGCAGGCCTCTGCCAACACAGCTGCATTACTCAATCACAGAGTTCTGTTAATGAGTGCCTACCAGTCCCCGCAGCCTTAGCAGCTGTTGCCTTGTAGTTTTCAATGAACTACCACAGCGCTGTGGAGCACCGTGGTAGTTCATTGAAGCTTCCTATCAGAATATCTGCTTGCTTGCACATCCCATACGGCAAGCAGATATTCTGACAGGTCTGCAGGAGACCTGCATGGCATCAGCGATCTACTGATAGCTGCTGCAATGCTTTCTAGGCTCCTGTAGACAAAAATAAATGCATATTTTTTTTGCCTGCAAAAAAATGTGCATTTATTATTTTTATCAAAAAGGTGAACTTTTTTTGTCATTATCAGTCATGCTTTCAATATCAATGCAAATATTTCACGATATCTGCCATACTATGCAAACCTGAGCACAACTGTATATTGAGGGCACTGATGCATGGGGAACCATTCATAAAAGGTGAAGTTACCCTTTAAATGAAGCTTGCTATCTAGCTTATGTTTGATTTTTGTTTTTTTATTGGTAAACTATCGTGATCATTCATGCAAATAGTTCACGACACTAATATCCCCTAGGATAAAGGTTAATGAACTGAGCCCAGCATCCTTTAGGACAGGTTTGATAAGAGAGGTCCAGTGTTGGTCAGAAAGGTACACACCTCACCAAGCAGGAATCTGTTAGGGCTTGTTTACACTTGCTTCAAAACGTGGCATTGGACAGACTTTTTTAAAGCGCTCTGGATGCCAGTCAAGGCACAGGTCACTAAATAATATGTTAAGCTGACAGTCCTGTTTACACAATGTGTTTGCGTCGCTTCAAAAATTATACCCCATGTCGCTTTCTTAGGTGCTCGTTTACAACACCTGCAGCTTTTGAGAGGCTTTTATTCAGCTTAGTTTTGGAGGTATTGCATACGTAAGATATCCCAGGATGCACTGGTAAACAAAGTGAAATGAAAACATGTAATCAGCAGTCACGTCCAGTTTATATGTAAACATTCTGGGAGTGTCTGGTGCAGACATCACCTCTGGTGTGCAATGTGCAGCAGCAGAA